GTTTGCCATTACCTGCCGAGGGACGACCGCTGTTAAGAAAAAACATTTTTATACCCGAGCGCACTTGTGCACAAGGGTATTATAACTTTGTTCACATAACGGTTGTTTGTAACAGGCAAAACGAATCGAGATAGATATAGACAAATGTATACATAAATGATCAGAATGAAAAGAGAAATCGATTAAGCGGTGACTGTCTGTCCGTCCGTCTGTGCACACGATAACTCGAGTAAAAATTGAGATATCTTAACGAAACTTGGTACGTGAACTTCTTTTGGGCGTGGGACGGATGGTGTTGAAAATGGGCGAAATCGGATAATAACCACGCCTACCTCCCATATAACGGTAATTTTAAGAAATACGAAAACTGCGATATTTTAGTAACTACTGAAGATAATTCACTCAAAATTGATACTTACAATGAGTTTCAGACGGAAAACATGAATATTATAAATTTTTGGAAAATGGGCGTAGCCACGCCCACTTATGGTTACATGTGTATATCTTGGTAACCGCTGCACCAATTTCTTCCTAACTTGGCACAGTTGTTGGCCTCAGTACAGCATACTAAATGGCTGAAAATTTAAAAAATCGAACAATAACCACGCCTACCTCTCATATAACGCTTATTTTCAGAAAAACGAAAACTGCGATATTTTAGTAACTACTGAAGATAATTCACTCAAAATTGATATTTGCAATGAGTTTTAGACGAAAAATAAGAATATTAGAAAATTTTGGCAAATGGGCGTAGCCACGCCCACTTATGGTTACATGTGTATATCTTGGTAACCGCTACACCAATTTCTTCCAAACTTGGCACAGTTGTTGGTCCTGGTACAGCATACCAACTGGCCGAAAATTTGTAAAATCGGACAATAACCACGCCCACATCCCATATAACGGTAATTTCGAGAAATACAAAATCTTCGATAAATCAGTAAATATTGAAGCTAATTTATTCAAAATTGACAATTAACAATTCTTTACCAAGAAATACGTTTATGACAAAATTTTGGAAAATGGGCGTAGCACCGCCCACTTGTGATCACATATATGTATCTCGCTAACCGTTCTAGCAATTTGTACCAAGCTCGGTATGGTTATTGTGCTTGCCACATAAAAGCAAACCGTTGAAAATTGTTGAAATCGGACTAAAATTGAGGCCGCTTTTCATATAACGGTAAATTTCAGATATGCTTGAAATTTCAATATTTCGAAATTTAAGGACGCTAATTTACTTAAAATGTATACACCCCGGCTTATCATGTAGCGGTAGCTTTCGGAAAGGTGGAAAACATATATTTAATACTTGCGCCGGGTATTTAATGTTCGACTCCGCCCGAACTTAGACTTTCTTACTTGTTTCTCAATAAGTTCTTTCGGCTCATCGCGGACAGAAATTGGTGGTAAACTCACCTAGCTCTTGTGACAACAGATGGATGCAGTATTGTCAGTTGCCTCGCCTGGATAAAGTTTAGCTGAGCAAAACTCACATATCTTCTCCATGCGTTCAACACTATTTGATTCTATCTCATCGTCGTTAAGGAAAAGACGTGCACCGCAATACGTCTTTGGTAGCTTTTCTTGCCGCCTCCTTGCACTGGCATCTTCACTTAATTGCTGAAAATATGATGGCACCAAAACACTACTAAATTGCAAATAGATCTTCCGTTGTTGCATATCTCGGTTTATTGGAAGGCAATTACGTTTATTGCGATCAGCTGACACTCCTATACACCTTTTTCGAGGCATTGTTAAGCATAATTTTATTAAATTGAATCCTATAGTAGTAAAAATGGTTACTACGACCAACAAAATAACTTTTTGAAATTATAAAGTTGCCGATTTTATGTAGACTTCATGAGATAAACGCAATATGTCAGTATATCTAATGGAAAAATTTTTCTGTAAATGAAATGTTGAATTGAAAATCACCAAAAATACCATAATACCAAACACCAATATGCTTACCATACCAATAATACTCGTAATAAATGTATTGCTTAGCTGTTATGATAAAAGGAATATCCGAATATTTTTCCGACGGGGTAGCCAGAAACAATATGGGCTGCAAATAAGATTGTGATGCGAAATTTACAAAAAATACATTAATACCAATACACATATGAATGTACTTACCGTATCTACAATTTACGCGATAAATATATTTCTCAGCTTTTATCATAAGAGGAATAAGTTAATATATTTAACTGACAGCGCAGACTGCTACAATTCTTATTATTGAAATTCCTATTATTTGGATTACAGTTATGTTTAAGCTTGAAGTCACACTAGCACAGTACTTTGGAGTTAAGTGTTATTATGGTGATGCCACAGATGGCGCGCTTTAACGGCTTCGTTCATGTACGAATTGTGTGGTTTATATTGCAGAATTGAATAAAAATTCGTGAATGATTTCATGAAATCATGAAAACTAAAAAGAAAGCGGCATAAATATTTAGCAGCTGTCAATACTAATCAAAAGTTTTGAAAAAAATGCTATTTGTAACTTTTAATTTCTATAGTTAAATATTTAAGTGTTTTCTGTTATTATTTTGGACATAATAATCTATTGGGGAAAAATAGTGTATTTAAAATTTTTTATAAAGAAATAATGTTTTCTTGATGTTCTATTTTGTATTAAAGATATATACTCGTATATAAATATATATAAGAACTGATGAATACAAAAAGCATTTTATGTTAAAGATTTAAATATTGAATGCCATCTTAAGTGCACGATGACTCACACGTGAAAGATTTTGTTAGTTGTGACGACTTTATATAATTTTCACCAGTTTCTAGTTAGGGTATGCGTAGTAGCGCGTAAAGCGCGGTTTCAAAATCGAATCCCAATACGATCACAATATGGTTTTCGGCTTTTATATTTGAATTTATGTAAGTATATTCACTACATTTAGAATGAAAAAAATTTAATTTGATGTAAGCTACTTGGAAAAAATTGTATTTATTTATTACTTCAATAGTAAATATTTTACTGTAAAAAAATTAATAATAGATTACCTACTTATTAACTGATAGGCCTTTTAAAAGATCGTAATTGTATAAAAAAAAAAATGTTGTGCTCACTTCGAATTCGTACCTAATTTT